CCACCGCAGTCCTGAAATCACACACATCTTTAACATTTGTTCATAACTTTGCCAGAATGCTCTGAAAACATTCTCTGTTGGCTTGGTATGCTTTTAAAATACAGTGTTGAGGAGGTACACTGAAAACAAATGTTGCAATTAACTGGTTTCACAACAGGTCAGAGAAGATGAAGAGAAGGGGATCTATTTATTACAGACTACAAACCTGCGCACTGAGCAGTAAGTCTTTCATTCAACAAACAAAATGAACAAAATGACTCAAAAAAGGATTCCTTCATTTTGATGAACGAATTCGAACAGGAGAGTCACAGAACAGAGCAAGGCGAGCATTTGTGCTTATAAAACTTAAACTTTGTTATTTATTTATTAAATGAGCGATCGTTTCGCATGATAAGACCCTTATTCATCGTCTGGAGTCGTTTAAAGCACTTTGAACAGTTTGCACTGAAACTCTCATTTGGACCATGAACCGTTTGGTTCACATTGAAGTCCATTATATGGAGAAAATCCTGGAATGTTTTCATCAAAAACCTTCATTTCTTTTCGACTGAAGAAAGAAAGACATGGACATCTTGGATGACACGGGGGCGAGTAAATTATCAGCTAAAGTTTTTTTAAAGTGAACTACTCCTTTAATGCACATGTGAACGTCATCAGCGTTTAAAGTCTGTTTAGAGAGAGCTAGCGGTGTCAGTGGACACTAATTTAATAGTTAATCAATCAAACCTAAGTTTAGCTGGAAAATAACATTATTCAAGAGCTGCTATAAAACCAAACCAATCTCTGTTACTTTAAATTGTATGTTTATCTCAGTAAAGCTGCTTTGAAACAATCTACACTGTTAAAAGCGCTGTATAAATGAGGATGACAAGAAACAGGTGAACGTAATCAATTACCAAGGAGCAAATTTGAACATACTGAGACCAAGGAAACAGGAACTAAACAATTAAAGGGAAACAAAATAATCTTAAAACTAAGAGTCTCTGAACACAAACAAATATAATTTCCCTGATTGGGCTTGTTGAGAACTCAAATATCCTTAGTTAGTAATATCCTAAGTTAGTTAATGTACATTTCAAGTTGAAAATTTTAAGGCAGCACAATTTCAGTGTATAGGAAAATATAAATAAAGCCATGTAGTATGCAGTCAAGTTAAAAAAAAATACAGCTACAATATTCTTGTAAAAAAAAAATGACTGCTGCAATTATCAAAACTTAACATTTAGCATTAGAATAACTTAACTTACAGCTATTCATCTTCCTTGAAAAAAATGTCTTTATGCCTTAAAATATCTTGAATGTAACTCGACACCCTCGCCTCATTTAGTATACACGGTTCTATGAATATGCAAATGAGCCACTGGTTGTCGATCACACGTTGATCTGATTGGTTAAGGTGGTTTGTGACGTCAGAAACACCAGCGATTTCAAACGTGTGTTTGAGACTGTCTTTTGTTTTAAGTAGGAAATACTCAGCAATGCTGTCCACTTATCAACTTACACATGGTGTGTGTTAAAGCGGATTAAACACACCACATACACACATAAACAACATTAAAAGCTGGATTTACACCACAGGGGGAGTAAATTTCTATAGCATTTTTACGTTCTCTTCGTCGATTAAAATGACTAATGCTTGTTTGTTTTCAGGGAACGGTGAGTCGTCTTCCTTCTCTTGGCTCGTTTATTAATTGTTTTGGCGGCAGCAGCAGATGAAGGTTACCGAGACACCAGATATGATTATGCTAATGAGCAGAGACACGTGCACTGAGCGGAAAGAACAAACCTGAAATGAGACATAAGGACTTCTATACATGTTGAATGTTCTTATACTTTGCGAGCGCTAAAAAATATAGTATGAATGTAATATGCTCAACATTCGCCATGTTTTTCCACACACTATAAAGCAGGGAAGACTTTCATTATCATAACACACTGTCTTTCTCTAGCTTCGTTTTCATTGTAAAAGTTATTTCAGTGTTTATTTTAAAAGCAGCAGGCCTGGTTTGAGAGTCTGGACTCTCTCAGTTTTATTTCCTGAATCAGAATAACGACAGGGTTTCCTTCCAACTTCTTCCAGTCACATTGATATAATGTCTGTTCAAAGTTCTCGAAATGTGAGCATTAAAACATTATTTGTATAATTTTCAGTCAGACCTTTTTTAAATGTAACTTGTTTCGGAGAACATTCAAAGTAACATTCCAAAAATGTTTGCAAATGGAATGTTCGCTTAACGTTCGTATAAACAAGAAAGAAAAGAGGCTTTATGACCAGGCGCATTGCCATAACCATTCCCTGACAGTGGGTTATTTCAAATCTACAGTAGGTCCAGTGAAGTGCCTGGAAACGCACCGTATTATTTTGGGTTTACACAAAGGAAAGAGCATATATTCCCTGCAGTCTGGCCTCTCATTTACACGAAAACCCTGTTTTTATCATAGAAAACGATCATAAAATTAAGAAACAGGAAGACAGGGCGGGACATATCGAACAGCTCCTCCCCTTTTTTAAAATAGCCAATGGAGTTTAGTTTATATCACAGCTGTTGAACACGATAAATCCGTATAATCTCCTCGATATCGCTTTAAAATACAGCATTCGGATTCAAATGATACGATTATTTTTCTCGATCACATGATCCGCTCTGTGTGTCGTGTCTCGAGCGGTTCGTGAAACCAGACTCAATGAAAAGCATATTTACATATATTTATATTTAACCAGACTTCATTCAGCCTAATGAGGCACATTTTTACACTCAATCGTTCCCTATCCCCTATATAGTGCAACAGTTAAGAAGTGACTCGCAGCTTTAGCGTCTGTTAATAATATAGGAGGCGGAGCTTCAGATTCTAGAGAGCATTTGATTGGACAGAAAATCTGATGAGAAGCTGCAGAGTGCGTCATCAAAATCATTGATCCCTAATGGCAAAAGCGAGAGACTGTAAGTTTTGCACACCAGCTTATATTATAGATATAACAATACGGCTCATAATAACTGTGTATAATATTATTTTTCCATTCCACTGCTCTACTTTTCCATTCTTTGTCTGTGAGCTAAACATGCGCTTGAAGAACATGTTTGTCCATCTTTGGGCTTGTTATTTTCCCCTATTAATAGGTGAAGTGACTTAGTTCAGCTGCAGTGTGTCCTTGGCCCTTGTGTCAGTGTCACAGCTCTCTGAACTCAGAAATCAGCTGTTAACCGTAAAAACACACGTGGAGCTGCAGACGGCCACACACGGAGAAATGCATTTAAAATACATTTAATATACCTTAATATGTCACAATTTAGATTTTTCATCTCATAAATAGCCTATGCCTTAATATGTCACAATTTAGATTTTTCATCTCATAAATATGCCTTAATATGTCACAATTTAGATTTTTCATCTCATAAATATGCCTTAATATGTCACAATTTAGATTTTTCATCTCATAAATATGCCTTAATATGTCATAATTTGGACTTTTCATCTCATAAATATGCCTTAATATGTCATAATTTGGACTTTTCATCTCATAAATATGCCTTAATATGTCACAATTTAGATTTTTCATCTCATAAATATGCCTTAATATGTCATAATTTGGACTTTTCATCTCATAAATATGCCTTAATATGTCATAATTTGGACTTTTCATCTCATAAATATGCCTTAATATGTCACAATTTAGATTTTTCATCTCATAAATATACCCTATTATGTCATAATTTGGACTTTTCATCTCATAAATATGCCTTAATATGTCACAATTTAGATTTTTCATCTCATAAATATGCCTTAATATGTCACATCTTAGATTTTTCATCTCATATATATGCCTTAATATGTCATAATTTGGACTTTTCATCTCATATATATACCCTAATATGTCATAATTTGGACTTTTCATCTCATAAATATGCCTTAATATGTCACAATTTAGATTTTCATCACATAAATATGCCTTAATATGTCATAGTTTGGACTTTTCATCTCATAAATATGCCTTAATATGTCACAATTTAGATTTTTCATCTCATAAATATGCCTTAATATGTCACATCTTAGATTTTTCATCTCATATATATGCCTTAATATGTCATTATTTGGACTTTTCATCTCATAAATATGCCTTAATATGTCATAATTTGGACTTTTCATCTCATAAATATGCCATAATATGTCACAATTTAGATTTTTCATCTCATAAATATGCCTTAATATGTCACAATTTAGATTTTTCATCTCATATATATGCCTTAATATGTCATTATTTAGACTTTTCATCTCATAAATATGCCTTAATATGTCACAATTTAGATTTTTCATCTCATAAATATGCCTTAATATGTCATAATTTGGACTTTTCATCTCATAAATATGCCTTAATATGTCACAATTTGGACTTTTCATCTCATAAATATGCCTTAATATGTCATAATTTAGATTTTTCATCTCATAAATATGCCTTAATATGTCATAATTTAGATTTTTCAATAGTAAGTCATAATTTTTACTTTTCATCTCATAAATATGCCTTAATATGTCATAATTTGGATTTTCATCTCATAAATATTCCTTAATATGTGTCATAATTTAGATTTTTCAGTTGTAAGTAAGTCATAATTTTGACTTTTCATCTCATAAATATGCCTCAGTATGTCATAATTTGGACTTTTCTTTTCATAAAAATGCCTTAGTGTGTCATAAATACGACTTTGTATATCGTAATTTTTGTCATAATTCTGACTTTGTATGTCATAATTTAGAATTTATGTAGCCTATAGTTTTGACTTTTTATATGATAATTATGCCATTAGAAGGTGATTTTTTAGTCTTAGTATTGCATATTTACTTTTTTATATCATAATTTTGACTTTTTCATAACTATAATCTTTTTATAGATTAGCTAAAACGTGTTTGTTGCATGCTTCCACTCATGTTTCTGAGATGATGAGCATGACAGATGCAGGTCACGTGTCTGTAATGTAGTGCACTACAGTGTGTAGTGTGCAGTGTGCGAGTCTTCCACTGATCCGAGACCCTTTGATGCTCAGGTCGAGTGTGTGTGGAGCCGATGATGGGTGGAGCCACACAATGAACAGGAGCTTCAGTCAAAGCTTCAGTGTGTGTGTGTGTGATCTCCACATATTCCTGTTTCAGCATCATCAGGATGACAATCATTGCTGAAGATGACGGAGATCCAGAGAGATGGACTAACACAGTGTCGGTGAGAACATTCACACACATGCATGTCTTTGACTTCAGTTAAACACTCACTTTCTGTCGGAATAATCGCGTTAAAGGCTTTTGCGTGGAAAACAAACGTCAGTTTAACAGCTAACGTCTAAAGTGACTGTCGTTTTAACGCCGACTGTGGTGTTTTATTGACATTTCATCGTGACCTCGACCAGATCTAATCATTTGGGTGCGCGTTTTATTGATATATGTCATTGTTTTGGACATGTTGCTTTTCATTTTGATTTACTCAATCCGAATAACACACACTGTAAGTGAAATATAGTAGTGCAATGAAGGATTTCATATTAACTGTAGCCTACAAAAGATCTACATCTTTATTAAATTAACAGAGGTTGGTTTAACAAACAAACAAACAAACAAACAAACAAACAAACAAACGGTAAATGAATTGTAAATCTCTCAAGGTGACCTTAAAGTTGTGAGTTAACATGTATATTTTTGATGCTTGGATAAATGAACTTGCCATGAGCAAATATATATATATATATATATTAAACAAGTTAAGAGATAATCACTTAATTGTTTGTCTGTGAATTTTTTTTTTTTTTTTAAGAAAACCTGAGCCAAAAATCTAAATTCTGTAATTTTTAGGAGATGAAGAGCAAGGTTGTGTAAAGTATATCTGTAAAATGTGTTGAAGTGTGTGAGCTGAACTGAGGATTGTTTGGTTTGTTTGGCGCTGGCATTAAAGCCGTATGGAGTCGAGTGTGTGGGAGTGTGTGTGTGTATTGTTGTTGTGCCCCCCTATAAACACAGCAAAGAGCTCAACCAGAGGAGACAGATCCGCTGCCAGTCACAGGCTTTACCAGCAGTAGGCTATATCTATCCAACCGTTTCTTTATTTGAAGACAAGCGTTGCGTTTGTTTTCCCCAAGTCCAGGATTAATAGGTGTAAAATGCACAGATATCTAATGTAAGCGTCCTCTGGAGTGCGAGTTTGTTGCATTCACCTGCAGAGAGTTTGCATTTACCATTTACCATTCATGTGGTGCTTGTCCATGTAAAACACTGTGTTGCTGTGTGTGCGGGTTCTAAGATGTCCTGTGTGGTTGCTATGGTTTTCGGAGTGCTTTTAGGCACATTGTAAGGGGGTTAATAATAGGCTTTTCTAAATGTGGCCTTTGTATATGGTTGCTGGGACGTTCTAGGTGGTTGCCAGGGCGTTGCTATGTGGTTGCTAAAGTGTTTGAGTGTTACCGAGATGTTCTGGGTGGTTGCCAGGGTGTTGCTATGTGGTTGCTAAAGTGTTTGAGTGTTACTGAGATGTTCTGGGTGGTTGCCAGGGTGTTGCTATGTGGTTAATAAAGTGTTTGAGTATTACTGATATGTTCTGGGTGGTTGCCAGGGTGTTGCTATGTGGTTGCTAAAGTGTTTGAGTATTACTGATATGTTCTGGGTGGTTGCCAGGGTGTTGCTATGTGGTTGCTAAAGTGTTTGAGTATTACTGAGATGTTCTGGGTGGTTGCCAGGGTGTTGCTATGTGGTTCCTAAAGTGTTTGAGTGTTACTGAGATGTTCTGGGTGGTTGCCAGGGTGTTGCTTTGTGGTTGCTAAAGTGTTTGAGTGTTACTGAGATGTTCTGGGTGGTTGCCAGGGTGTTGCTATGTGGTTACTAAAGTGTTTGAGTATTACTGATATGTTCTGGGTGGTTGCCAGGGTGTTGCTATGTGGTTGCTAAAGTGTTTGAGTGTTACTGAGATGTTCTGGGTGGTTGCCAGGGTGTTGCTATGTGGTTGCTAAAGTGTTTGAGTATTACTGAGATGTTCTGGGTGGTTGCCAGGGTGTTGCTATGTGGTTCCTAAAGTGTTTGAGTGTTACTGAGATGTTCTGGGTGGTTGCCAGGGTGTTGCTTTGTGGTTGCTAAAGTGTTTGAGTGTTACTGAGATGTTCTGGGTGGTTGCCAGGGTGTTGCTATGTGGTTGCTAAAGTGTTTGAGTGTTACTGAGATGTTCTGGGTGGTTGCCAGGGTGTTGCTATGTGGTTACTAAAGTGTTTGAGTATTACTGATATGTTCTGGGTGGTTGCCAGGGTGTTGCTATGTGGTTGCTAAAGTGTTTGAATGTTACTGAGATATTCTGGGTGGTTGCCAGGGTGTTGCTATGTGGTTGCTAAAGTGTTTGAGTGTTACTGAGGTGTTCTGGGTGGTTGCCAGGGTGTTGCTATATGGTTACTAAAGTGTTTGAGTGTTACTGAGATGTTCTGGGTGGTTGGCAGGGTGTTGCTATGTGGTTGCTAAAGTGTTTGAGTGTTACTGAGATGTTCTGGGTGGTTGCCAGGGTGTTGCTATGTGGTTGCTAAAGTGTTTGAGTGTTACTGAGATGTTCTGGGTGGTTGCCAGGGCGTTGCTATGTGGTTCCTAAAGTGTTTGAGTGTTACTGAGATGTTCTGGGTGGTTGCCAGGGTGTTGCTATGTGGTTACTAAAGTGTTTGAGTGTTACTGAGATGTTCTGGGTGGTTGCCAGGGTGTTGATATGTTGTTGCTAAAGTGTTTGAGTGATGGTGTTGAAAGTGTTTGTTTGACTTCAATGGTGTTGCTATGCAGTTGCTAGCTTAGATATTATAACTATTGCTTTTGTATATGGTTTGTGGAATGTTCTGGATGATTTCCAGGTCGTTGCTAAAGTGTTTGAGTGTTGCTTGGATGTTCTGGGTGTTTGCAATTGTTGCTATCTTGTCATAAACAGTGTAGTTACTGAGTGTTTCTATTGTAGACACTGAGTGTATATTTACTTTATTCTAGAGCTGCTGTAAAATCTATATTGTTAAAAGCGCTTTATAAAAGGTGACTTGACTATATGGGTGCTGGGATTGTTATGGTGGTTGCTATGGGATTCCTAAGGTATTTTGAGTATTTCTTCTGCATATGCTTTCTGGTATGTTCTGGGTGATTACCAGGGCGTTGCTTAAGTGTTTGAGTGTTGCTGCATGGTTGCTGGGATGCTCTGATTGATGGTTACCAGGGCGTTTCAGTTGCTAAGGTTTTCTGAGTGTGTTACTTGTCTATTTGGTTTCTTGAATTTCCTTGGTGGTTGCTAGGGCGTTAAAATGTGATTCCTATGTATTTTTGAGTGTTTCTTTCTACTGGATATGGTTGCTGGGATTTTCTATGCGGTTACCAGGGTGTTGCTATGTGGTGGTTTAGTGTTGATGTATGTTTGCTGGGATACCAGGGCGTGGCTATGCAGTTGCTAAAGTCAAGTGTTTTGAGTTTTGCTACTGTATTTAGTTGCTGGGATGCTCTAGGTGGTTGCCATGGCGTTGCTATGCAGTTGCTTGAGACTTTTTTTTCTGTCTCACATTAAAAGAGTCATTTAACAACATGAATTTAGCATTTTTATAATGTAGCCTTATTTATTGTAACCGATTTGGTTTAATGTCCCTCAGTGCTCGTCACTGTGCTTCAGTTAAACTGTCAGTGTGTAGACGTTGAAAGCGTCTGTGAAGTGTCACGACCCCCTCGGCCCTCATTGACGTTCTCTGAAGGGGGTCTGACTCACGTCTGTCACTCGCAGACTCTGACATTTCCACCGGCCGTGTGTCAGGACGGTTTTGCTGAAGACTTTTCACGGCATGAATTATTCATACAAACATCACTGTACGCCGCCACACATAATTCTGAGGGATTAGGCAAATTGGAAACCAACTGGAAAAGGTGAATTATACATTAATCAGTGCAGTTAAGCAAAGTCATCTGCTGCTTCTGTAATTGATTATCTGATTGGAACGTATAATCATGTTCGTGAAGGAGCGCATGTGAAATCTGTGAATTTACAGAGGATGTTTAATTAAACGGGATGTATTTATGCTATCAGCCGGGACATTGGAGAGAAACGGATGAAATCTGAAGAGATCAGGCTCTTCAATCTGTAACTGTTTGTCATACGTACATCTGTGAATCCGTCATTGATGATCATTAACTGGAATCTTGACAAACAGAAGTCAATAGCTGCATGTGATAATAAAAAATCACGAGAAATAATAAAATATCATAATTAAAAATCTAATCTTCGCACTCTTTTAAAGTAACAACGCTTCAAATAAAGATATCGTTAGATATATAAAGAAGTATCATTACATCACTGCACCAGTAGGTGGCGACAAGTGACTCTGTTAACATGTATTTGTCATTGAATCATTCATTCAAAAGATTTGTTCAAAAACGCGAAACAAGTGAAGTCATTGAATCATTCACTCAACCTGATTTAATTCATTCAGATTAATAAAACATTTTAAATAGACATTTTGTTTGAACCTCTAGTAAATGACATGTTATTTTGTTTAGCTATCTGTTCAAAATTGTGGAGAATCATGTGTTTGAAAAAAAAAACAAACAAAAAAAACGTGATTCTCAATTTATCCAGAATCTACTTAAAACTAGAACAGATATCTGTCAACGGGGTCAAAAAATAATAATTTTTTTTTTCAAAACTATATATATACCAGAAAAATTGGCTAGGTCTGTCTTCAAAATAGTGGATTACTCCGTCAATTTTGTCTTTCATCTCTTCTTTTTCGTCAAGTTATGTTTTCATCTGATGATGTAATGTTTGATCTTAACTTCCTGTTCTTCTTTTCCTCCCGCCCACAGGATGATTGACAGGCCCGTGATCCAATAGGCACGATGATCGCCACTGGCGGGCTGCTGAGAATATCGCGGAATCGCCAGGAATCGCCGCGATCCAAGAACCGCGCGGAGAACAAGAAGAAGAGGAAAGCCAAGAAGAAACGAAAGAACGACGTTGTTGTGGTGAAAGGAAAATTGAAGCTGTGCTCCGCATCAGGGCTGGTGGCGGCGCTGGGCGTTCTCATCTTACTGGTCGGGATCACCATGGCCGTACTGGGATACTGGCCCAGGGAAAACACGGATACGCCGATATGGCGAGCCACACAGGGGAATCTAACAAGCAATAACATGCTGGTGGTGTCGAGCGACGGAAACTCTTCGCTCGGCTTCTTCAAAACGCTCTTTTTGAGTTACTTATACTCGGATAATCTCAAAGTGTTCGGGCCTTTAGTGATGGGCATCGGGATCTTCCTCTTCATCTGCGCCAACGCCGTTCTGCACGAGGATCGTGACAAGAAAACTAAAATCATAAATCTGAGAGATATTTACTCCACAGTCATAGACAGTCACGGTTTGCGCGCCAAAGACCGCGTCCCGTTCATCAGCCACGTGAGGAGCGCCGAGGGCCGTCCGGCGGGAAAAGCGGGAAGCTGTAAGCGCAAGTCGTCCGTTTATAGCATATCCCAAAGGTCCGAGGAAACGCACTGGGAGACGCGCTCGATCGTCACGTCGTCTGTTAACGCGTTTACTTTACCGGTTATTAAACTCAACAATCGCGATATCATGCAGGAGCTGGACGTCTCGCGCCGCAAGAGCTGCTCCGCCGCGGTGGAAACCCGAGCGCAGGTTTCCAGGACACACGTGTCGCTTTCCCAGGATTCGAAGCTCAACGTGGGGAAGCGGGTCACGGGTTCGCATCTGTCCCTGAGCGCGCTGTCGGATCCGGGCGGAGGCTATCGGGACGAGCGCTCGCGGAGGTTTAGCTGTCCCAGGCTGGAGCGCGCGGGGAGTAAGGGCTACAGCAAACTGGGAGATTCCTTCGCAGGCGCTGGCGGAACGGAGGATACACACACTCACACACACACTTCCTCGATGATGGTTGACTCAAACTGAAAGCAAAACACCTTTAAATGTCTGAATGTCACTGCTTGTGCTCATTTTCACTTTTTATCACATTCAGACAATTGTAAGAAATTTACTACACAAAACGACATGTTTTTATGACTTGTTTTCCGGTGTAAATATCTAAAGATACATTTACTGGAGAAGAAGCAAAATTATGAGAAAATGTGTTTTACTTTTTCTGACTCCATTGGCAGATATTTGTTCTTGTTTTAAGCACAAACTCACTTCATTATCATCACTGTAATTTTGTTTCTCCCGTAAGTGTATCTCGATTTAAGAATGTTTAGTTTGTGCTGGAAAATAAGTGATATTTCGTATCCAATGACATTCAGACATTTTGTACACTAACATTCAGAAGTTTGCCATTTGAAATTAATACTTTTCTTTAGGATGCGTTACATTTTCTTTAGTATGCGTTTATTTCATAAAAATGCTGTTCTTTTGAATGGTCTATTCATCAAATAATCCTAAAAAAATAAAATGATTCAGTTTCCACAAAAATATGAACTTTTCTCAACCCTGATAATAATCATAAATGTTTCTTGATCATCAGAACCTCATATTCGAGTGATTTGTGAAGGATCATGTGACACTGAAGACTGGAGTAATGATGCTGAAAATCACAGGAATAAATTACACTTTACTGTATATTCACATAGAAAACAGATGATTTACATCACAATAATATTTCACAATTTTTACTGTATTTTTGATCAAATAAATGCAGCCTTGGTGAGCAGAAGACACTCATTCGAAAACATTAAAAAAAATAATAAAATCAAAAATCATCGTATGATGATCTTCATCGTTTATATGTTTCTATATGAATTCACTATCAATTCTATGTCGGGTCTAGATTTAGTATTTCTGGCCTTTTTAGATTTAGTTAAAACTGTCATCCAAACCCTTCATAATAAGGCAAAGATTAATTTTGACAGACACGATCTTGTTTTTTTGACTCATGCGGAACAAAAAGCATCATCACATTCATAACAACAAATTTGACATGATCTCATATTTGTTTAATGTGATACTGTATGAAATAAGCATAAGATCATGTCTATATGTACCTGCAGATGAGTCATTTACAGGAGGCGGAGACGCTTCCGGTTATCAAGTAGTTTATTATTAAACAAAAAAAGTTATGCAGTTTTTTAGTTGTATTCACTGTAGCATCAATATGTTAACATTATTCACCATCAACGTACTTTCTTAGCTAACTTTATTTGTATTTAAATGTTTAGGAAACATTCCACGTCGTCATAGTTAAAACGGAAACGTTACTTTCGAATGTTCGCGGAATGTATTTGTAACGTTTAAAATTCAAACATTGCTACTGGTTTCAGAACGTTCCGAGAACATTCAAAAGTAACGTTTCCGTAAACAATGATGTCATGGAATGTTTCCTAAACGTATAACCAAGAAAAAAAAAAAAACTGGACGCTTTGAACGTTCAGAGAACATTTAGAAAAAAAGTTTTCATAATTTAATGGGAACATATATTTGTTAGCTGGGATCTTTCTTTCTTTTAAAATGTAATCCCAGTGTTTGTATTGTATATTGTGTGTCAATAATATTGTGTTTTGGGTCATTAACATGATTATGATGTAGAAACGCGTGCCTTAGTTTAGACAAACTGTTGCAGGGTGTTTTGTGTGTAGCTGTAGTAGTGTATTAGACTTCACAGCTCAATTTTATATGTTTATTATAAAATTACATTCACCTTTGGCATAATCACAACTACTAGATCCTGAGAGAGAAATTACAATATTGTGTCCACGTAGGACAGCAGTGTTCGTGTTTCAGGTGATATAAACACACACAGCTCATATTATGCAACTTTGCACATGCATGTTGTTTTTGTATCTTCACTCATTTCTAGAGAGCAGATATTGTATATACACAAGGGCAATAACTGGTTTAGAGAGTTTGTTGAAAGCTGTTCAATAGTTTTAGCTGCTATGAAAATAAAGTTCTTTGAGTTAATTCTGTCCTGCATTGATTTTCTCTCTCCATGTGTTATAAATGTGTTTATTCTGACATCTAGTGGAGAATTGAGGCAGTGTTGGAAATCTTAATAAAAAAAAGCTTAATAAAAGCTGTTGTTAGTTCCTTCCTGTGCAGTAACTAATGTTAAAGTCCCCCTGTGGTGTAAATCCAGCTTTTAATGTTGTTTATGTGTATATGTGGTGTTTTTAATACGCTTTAACACACACCATGTGTAAGTTCATAAGTGGACAGCATTCGCTGGTGCTTCTGACGTCACAAACAACCCTGTAACCAATCAGATCAACGGGTGATCGACAACCAGTGGATCTCTGAGTGAGTTAGTGAGTGGAGGCGGGGCTCATTTGCATATTCAGAACCACGCATACTAAATAAGGCGAGGGTGTCGATTTACATTCAAGATATTTTAAGGCATAAAGACATTTTTTTCAAGGAAAAAAAAAGCTTAAATGTCATTTTGGAGTGTAAATGGATAAAATTATTAATTACAGGAGGACTTTTTCCCTATACGAAACGAGAAGCTAATATTTAAATGAAACGGCACTTTCTAAGGGATATAGGTGTTATATGCCACCAATATACATAAACTCATAAACTGAGTTACTTACAGCTTGTTTTTTTCTTTTCTAGTCTAATGGCTTTAATTTATGAACTTTGATCGTCACTTTTACTGATATTCTTCAGGTCACATGATCAGATGTGAAGAACGAAAAGGTTGTCTCTTTATCTGAGATCGTCTCTTTATCAAGAATTGCTCATCCATATTACTAGAGAATATAATAAACATTAACATCCATAACATGCCTGTGATGATTGAAACTTGTGGAATTTTTATTAGATTATCTAGATAACTTCAAACTCTAAAATGAAAAACTTCTGAGTCACACACACACACACACATATATATGCTTAAAATATACGAAGTTAATCAAACAAACCCATAAGTTTCTCTTTTAGTTGCTGAGGAGTCACACTTCTAGGATAAGACGCCAGGAAGGAGGGGATTATGTTAGGGCGTGGCTAAGACGACAGCGAGCCAATCATAGACACATGGGCGTGGTCTGTCCGCCCCAGACTCCGCCCAGGGAAACTTGTGAACGTGAGTTTGATTGAAAGTGGAAGATCTTCAGGTGGACCAGTCTTTCTGCTCGGATCTCCTGCCAGTGTGTGTTTTGGAGCTGGAACAGGATCAGATGTCGTTTATTCGCTAAAGGATCAACTGCTGTCAGGTGATGCTTATTTTACTGTTAACGTGTTTATGTCGAAGCGCGATAACTTCCAATGTTTTTAAGTACATGTTATCGTGTTCCTTCAGGTGAGATAAGATTAGTTAGACATATGCATAAATATTTAGGTACACGAAACCGTGATAAATGTGTCAGTGCTGCTGCTTTGAATTTGTTCGGTCAAAGTGACACTGGAAACTCAGTAGTTGATCCAGCAAAGTTGCGTTTTTGCTGTTCGACTACTGTAAATATTGATTGTTTTATATGTTCAGGTGTTTTAGACATGATTTAGCACATAATATCGACAGGTACGGCGATCACTGGTTAATTTGACAATTTAACGAGCTAGTTTAATGACAAACTTGCATGGTAAATGTATATGAAAATTGCACATACAACGTCAACATGGTAATTGATATATATTGACGTGGGTCATTGGTCATGTGGTGTGACAAATTAATTGTAATAGTTTATTATTTCTTAAATTTTTCATGTCTCAATTTATATGAGCTCATAAAAGCAATGTGCATAATAAGTCAACAAAATGTTGTTTAAATCACTTGTATATCATGTCACACTTTCAAAAGTCTGTCATATCAACCAACCATAAATCCACTAGTTTGAAAGTCATATGTCATGCAAATATCTGATATTTCATTTGTTTGAGATCTCAATCATTCAATATGGATGTTGAATGTGTTTTCTTCCCTGTTTTCCCGGGATTACGGGCTCTCTGTGCCGTGGATCTGCATCTGGATTCTGTCTTTCGGTGAGTCACTCTCCAAGAGAAACACACTTTTACCATCCTTTGGTCAGCGGACATCTTCGACATTTGGGGGTTTTCCAAAAAAAACCTCTTTTGATGTATTTCTAGAACAGGAAACCCCTGTAAATCCTCTAAATCATACTCCCAGAAGCGTTTCAGATTCACTATAACAGCTATGTGACATGGGTTTAAATGACCTATAATAATATATCAGTCTTTTTATTTAATAATAAGTATTTTTACCAGTTAAGAGCATGTTGACCTTTGGGCCATGATTATGCTGTCAAAGCTAATATAATTAAAATAAAGCAATATTCTCAAAGTCTCAGGTCTTGTTTTGCACAAATATCTAAACATTCATAAATCAAGAATCATTTACAGGTGAAAAAAATAAAAATAAATGTATATATATTAAACTTGAAACAAGAACAAATATCTGCAAATGGGGTCAGAAAAATAAACAAGCATTGTTTTCTAAGCTCAGGCATCTTTTCTTTATAATTAAAATAAATAACGTTTCTTCTCCAGTAAATGTCTCTTGATATGAGAATGTTTATATATTTGTGTTGAAGCACTTCTAGTTTGAGTTAAGTGTATTTCTCTGACTCCAATGGCAGATATTTGTTTTGTTTTAAGTTCAAACTCGCTTCATTTTGATACTTTTTTTACTTAATATGTCCAGTCATTTTGCTTCTCTGTCTTGTTTTATACTGGGAAGAACATCATTTATTGGTCTATAAATCTTCGAATATCAGTAATGTCATCAGCCAGACTCTTTTGTCTTACATTGAGGATCATGTGCGCTGTATGATTGACAGCGATCTTGACCGGGTGTTTGAGTCATTTCTGCAGAGTAAGTTAAGAACGCTATGGAAAGAGGAAATGATTGTTGCTTTGCTTGTTTTCATTTCCTCCGGCTGGTTTTTGCTGATGTCCATTGGATTTTTGGTTATTGTAGGGAAAGGCATGATAGAGAAATCTATAAGAAGACATTCCAGACCTTCTCCAATACTGTAGAGTTGCTTCACGGCTCATCCTGCGTTTGATAGAGACTGTCTGACTCTGATAGGGTCTGTTTACCTGTACGTCTGGATGAGGATATTGATTCCCAGAGGTTTTTGTCACACATCTGATAAACGTGAAGAGAGTCAGCGATGGGAATGATGTGAAGAGTCTTCTTCAAAGCGATACTTACCTTGAGTTACCTTGCGGACACACACTGCGTTTCAGAGATTTGGTGTTTTCACTGACACATTCTTTTGACCATTTATTCCCTCTTGCAAAGTTTTGGCACATAGGTGTGTGTTTCGGGAAGGCTGTGTGTGTTTTGGTTTCATCAATGCTCAAATTGACCGTTGGTTTCCATGCAATCCGCAAAAAATCAACTCTTCAAAAGAAGGCAAAGAGAAACCTGTCCTCCATATGGGACACATTGACACGGTTCTGGCTTGTAGGGTGATCGAAAGCGTGAAATAGCTCATAACTCCTAAA